CTCTTAGGTGATGGAAGAGTGTCAATCCAAAAACTCAAACCTCATGTCAAGAAGGGTGTCACCACTTTGCTTCTCAAAAAGAAGCATGGCCACTGGGCCACATGGGTGATTGGCTTTTTAAGGATATTTTAAATAAATACCAATAGTTTCTAAATCCTTAATTTAGAGAAAAATTTAAAAAACTTACAGTTATTTTGAAACAAAAAAGAGCATTATTTTTTTTCTATGGCAATTTTTTTACCAAACATAGAAAATTAATAACTTAACAAAATTCCAACTAATTTTCATTACAACATTTATCAACTTTTTATGCAATATTTTTTTAACTTTTCATATAGTATTTTTTAGTAAAGTTGACCTTTAACCCAACAGATCCACCCATCCTAAGATTTAAACATAAAATCTCCAACACAAACATTTAAGCTATTAAGTAGTAAAGTTTCCCTTAGGCAGAATGCCCAAATCCACCACCAAGTTAAAAAGTAGGAATGGATCCACTCTCAAACAACAAAACTAAGACAAATCCACTCATAAAATTTTTGACTTGAATAGATCACTCCAAATTTAACATGTGGCATTAGATGGTATCAGTCATTCATTAACAATAAACTTATCAACAATGCAACAAATTAACAGATTATTGATGTCATCTGATGTCATACATTAAATTTGAAGTGATTTGTTTAAATTAAAATTTTTATAAGTAAATTTGTGCCCATTTTTTAGTTGAGGGTATATCCATCCATACCTAATTTTTGGGGTAGATTTGGGCATTTTACCCTTCTCTAATGGGACGGACTTAAAAAAATGAATTTGATGCTTTCTACCAGGCCGCTAGTTGGTTTTTTTTTTTATACATATTTTATGATAAGTTATATAAGATGAAATAATCTTATATTTTTCTTAAACTTCTTTTTACTTGAGTTAAGATCCAAATAAAAAAATTTTAATTTGAAATTTTAAACTCTTAATCAATTAAGCCACCCTTGAGAACCTACCAACTAATATTAAAAAGTTGTACTCCTTTTGTTGGAATTAATCATCATTGGAGGAACGTGTTATTTAGTTGTGCATATCTTGTTGATGAGACTATTGAATCATTTGTTTGGTTGTTTGAGACATTCTTAGAAGCTATGGAGGAAGACAACCTAAGAGTATTTCCACAAATCAAGATTAAGCAATTGCAAATGCTAGTAAAAAAGTATTCCCTGAATCGCATTAACGATTATGTTTATGGCATCTTTCTAATAATGCCAAGAAACATTTTGTTGGATTTTATGGGAATTTAAATTTCAATTCAAAATTTCATAAGTGTCTTAGTCATTGTTTAGATGAAATGGAATTTTAATCGACTTGGAATGATATAATCAAGACCTTCAATCTAGAGAATAATGGGTGGCTTAATAAGTATTTTATTATAACTTCTTTTTTTTTTTTTACCACCATGCTTTATTTTTTTAAGAATAGAAGTTAAAATAGAAGAATAAATAGACTTGATTAGCATGCTTTATTTCTTTTAATTACCCATGTTAATTTGCAAGTTTTATTGTCTCTTTATAGGTTACATGAGACTCAAGAAAAATGGTGAATTGCATTGAATGTAGATTTTTTCTTTTTTTTTTTGCTAGAATGAAATCTACTCAAAGAAATGAGAGTATGAATAGTGTTTTTTTGTCAAAATTTGAGTACTTCATTAACTCTCATTCAAGTTATTAAATAATAAGAACCAAAAATAGAAGATATGTGTCAAGGAGAATGAGATGAAGACTTGCATTGCAAAAATGGTTCCTTTGTGAATTTGATTAGTCATGGAGGAATTTTGGGACACGCTACTACTATCTACACAATGAGAGTGCTTCAAACTTTTAAAGAAGAGTTTTTCAAGGGTTTAGGCCTAAATTGGGTTGAGGTAGAAAAGGATGGGACAAGACTTTTATATGAACTTGATAAGCCATGTTCAAAAAGAGTCTTGAAAGTGGAGTTTGATAAATCTAATTTTAGTATCTCTTATACTTGCAAGTTATTTGAGACTTCGGGGTTTTTATGGAGCCATGCTTTAAGGGTGCTTGTTGTGAATAATGTAAATGAGATACCAGTACAATATATCATGTGGAGATGGACAAAGAAAGCAAGAAAGGGGGTTGTTTATGAATCACTTGATTTAACTTGTGATGATGAAAAATCTACTTACCTTTTACATTTTAGTGAGTTGAACCATCTTGGTCACAATGTTTTTGACAAAGGTTCATTCATTGCTAAGGGGACTAAAATTGTGAAGATGAAATTAATAGAGGCTTTAGAGTTAATTAAAAAAGACTTAGAAAGCTTAACTGAAGTTGCTACAATAGAAATGCACGTAGATGATACCTAAGTGGTATTTGATCCTCCATGCATGAGAAAAAAAAGATTGACTAATGCTATAATCAAAAGCCTTAGAAAAAATATATGAAGAAGAAGAAAAATAAGGCAAAAGATGCAAAAACTTCTAATATGGTTCTAAAGATGACAGAAGTAGCTATTGAAATCTAGCAAAATTTTGCATTTCAAAATCTATAACTTGAGGTGTTTGGTAAGAATTAAGATGCTTTTTCAATTGATTATTTGTTGCAAGTGCATTATGTTGCAAGTCTAATGGGTAGAATCCTACTAGTATATAATGTTGATAGATTTAATACAACTAAGAGCAATGCTAGGGGCACTCGCCTTTTGCACTCTCCGGCCAACACTTCCTTTTTCATTGGGCCACGTAAGCTTGTTTTGGGCTTTACAGTGCAACCTCTAGCTAGCCAGGATAACGTGGCCCAGTAAAAGTGAAAGTGTTGGCCGGAGAGTGCAGCAAGCGAGTGCCGCTAGCACTCCTCAATACAACTAATATATTCTTTTTTCGTTTTTAATTTAGAAAATCAAGCATGAAGTAATAATGTCAATGCATCATTAAGTGTTGGTCTTTATAATTAGGTACTTGTTGGTATTTACTGTCTGATTTTGTTTAATATTATATAATTTATTGATACAGCTTTATCTTCATGTACAAGTTACTAGTTCAAACTTCAAAGTGTGTGTTTTTTCATCCGCATACAACCCTTTATGGAAATACTTCAAGATTTTAATCCTATTTTGACTCCAAATTTTCAACATTTCAATCCCATTTGGACAATTTATGAATTGGCTTTTGAGATTTGATAAGATGTTGCTCATTCTCTTAACAAGCATATGTATTCTTATATCTGCAGGTAGGGCTGGGCATTTTTTAACCGAACCGATTGTTTACCTAAAAATCGAACCGAAAAAATGATTTCGGTTCGGTTTCAATGGTTTTTGGTTTTTATTTTTTCGGTTTCGGTATTAACCGAATATATTTTGGTTCAGTTTCGGTTGAGTCTCTTAAAAA